CTATTCCACTTTTACAGTGTGTAGATTCTTTGGGGAAAAAATACCTTGGAAGGAAAAGAGCTAGAAAGCTATTGCAGACCTACCTTTATTTTTGTATCTTCTATTTGAACATCAGCAATACTGCATTCCATCCAAGAATGGGAGGGAAGGAGAGAGGCAGACACTAACTTTTCCAAAATCACATACAAGTGGCAGAATTCAAAGCTACCTAGGCCTGGATAAACAATGGGAGGAAGTCACAACTGGTACCCAGAGAATGTAGCTATACCTGGAGGAAGACTGCCCAAAAGGAGCCGTGGTCTTCATTGGGGGACATACCTACTACAAAACCATACCTAGGAGGGAGGGAGCCAGGGAATAAATATGAACCTTCTTCCATTCTGCTCTCCCATCTGCTGCTAATAATTCCCAATGTCTAAACCCAGTAGAAGGCAGAGCACCAAGGAGCTTGTTCAATGAGCCTCCTGGTGTTTAGAGAGGTATGTAGAGGGGAGAACCTGAATCTGAATGGACAGTTTCTAATTTAATAATGGAACTTACAGATAACCTGTCTTATCAGTATTGAGCTCAGATGGAGTCACGCAGCATTACTCTGCCAATCGCTAAGCAAATAAAGCTTTGCCTTGGTCTTTTAGGGCCAGAATCAATTAGGAAATGGACAGTAAGCAGACAGCGTGACTGCTGCTAATTCTTGGATCTTATTTTAGGCATTGGTGAAATATGCCATGAGCATTGACTAGCATCTACTAAAAAGGCAATCATATTCTATCATGATGAGGTACAACAGATATTTCCATTTTGGGTGGAGTGAAATCATGTACTTGCTTATTAGAAAAAGAGTCAGGGAAGAAATCACCGCAGCAGTGTTGTCTTGGAGAAGACAGCCTGGAGTTTGCCAGAGGAAAGACTCCCTTTCCAGAGGAAAGACGAAGACTCCCTAAGAAAAAAAGTGGTTTTAGCATAACCAGAGAAGGTTACTTTGCAGGCCAAATTAAGATGTATAATTTAGTGTGTGGAGCCTGCAGAGCTGCTGTATTTTAGTCAAAGCAGAATGAGACAATGCTGCTTGAAATAGTCCTATGAACTCAGCATGGATTATAGTACTGGTGTATTTAACCCCACTCCATGTTGCTTTCCTTGTTATTTTGCCTTTTTTCTCCCAAGACTTATAGTGTTTTTCTTCTGGTTTCTCAGATGGAAACTATGTGTTGTGATTCAACACTGGACTCTGACTTGCTCATGGCTTGTTGCAGAGAAGTGTTTGCCCTGCTCAGAGGCCTGCCTTTGACATGGTGCCCACTGGAGTGCTGAGGTTGAAGTTCCTTTACTCAGGGCATATGCTTTTCTTCAAGGAGGAGGAGTTTTGTAGTTCTTTGTCTAGCTAGTAGGTGTCACCAAGTAATATTTTGAGATAATGAATTAGAAACTTAGAGATTAAATTTCTCATTTCACAAAGGAAAGAAGAAAACACATGAGGGGCATTTATCCAGACACTGGCAGGGATGCTAGGCTGATAGCTGAATCCTGAGAGTCTTTTCTTTGGTTGAGAGAGATTGGGAAAAAGTGTGAATAGTTCTTCTATCCTCCAGAGACAGCTCTGTAACTATTCATTGATGATAGTGGAGGATGTACATAAAAAGTTTGATGTCAAACTATGGAAGAGAAACTATAATGTCGAACTATGGAAGAGAATGGGGTATTTGAAAAAGATTTGTTCATGTTCTTTGTCTTAAGTTATTTGGACTTTGGATGTTCAAAATTATAGCAAAGCTAATTCTGAAACTCATCCTGAGACCAGAAAATATGAAATAATTTTTTTCTTCCATACATTTCCTCTAAAATGCCCTCTGGGTGCTAAATTCAGGCAAAGTAGATTATCTTTGTGCCACTGATAAGTCAGTACCTGTGCTCTTGTTCATTCAGAGGAGAAAACTTGTTATTTTCAAGCAACTCCTCTTTAAAACAATTCACTTTTCAATCCCTATATTTCATTGCAGATAATGCCTTTTGTTTGAACTTTTTGTTAAATGATAAGGCCTAGAGAGAGAGACACTAGGAATATCTTCCCTACTTGCTTACATGATCATCAGAAACTCAGAAATTATGAACACATGACATGAAGAAACCATTTCACACCTGGATTTGGACCTCCCAAATGTGGAAGAAGAGTATTTTATCTTGAAAGCAAGGTAAAACTCTGCAATATTTTTTTAAATTTTAGAATTCCAAGAATGGGATATTTTTCTTTTATAATTAGTAGGGACTTATTTTTGCCATGTATCCTGCCACAAACTACATGGCCAATGTTGAGATCTACAACTCCAAGGTCATTCCTTTTATCTTCTACAATCTTTCACTCGATCCCTAGTTGAAAGGTCTTCAACATCATACAATACCATGGTTATCACTTTCGCTATTTTTATACATTCTTCTGCAAAAGAAAGTATATCAATAGAGAGAAAATGCAACAGGTATTTAAGAAAAGATGATGGATGAGGCTAGAGCTAAGAATTTTAAGATATAACTGGGTGTGTGACTCCTGTTATTGTCACGGGAGGAAGAAAGACTTGCTTATATTACAGAAGCCCTCTGATTTAATCTAACACTAGTTTCTGAGGCATGGGTTCTGGTCTCATTTGGGCAGTGCTGACTGAAGGATGTTAGGGCTAGGGTTTACAGACCTATACTAAAAGCACACTAAGAAGTTAGACCACTGAATCCTAATGTCTTTAGCTACAAAATATGGAGAATTATTTTAATATACGTTCTTTTTCAGTCTCATTTAAAGCCTCTTTTCCCTCCATTTATCCCTTAAATACCTGTATTCCCAGTACTCTGTTCTACAACCTTTGAATTTTTTGGCCTGTGCATTCTTCTTGATTAACCTCATCCAAGTCAGTGACTTTAACTGCCTATTAGACATGTCTGACAATCTTTGTCTCTTAATTTTGTGTGTAGACCATTTACATTTAATGTAAGTATTGATGTTTAGCTTTAGATTTATCGTTTTATTATTTACTTGTGTTTGTAGCCTCTATTTTTTGGTTCCTCTCTTTCATTTTCCCTTTCTTGTTTTCTTTTGAGTTATTTGAATTTTTTTAATTCTTCCATTTTAATGTATCAATTGTATTTTTCATTATATCTCTTTTAGTGGTTGCTCTGGGGAGTAACTATGCATGCCTTACTCTTTACAGGGTAGGCAGAAATAAATTGCTATTATACTTTGCCACCATAGAGGTCCCTTTCCTACCCCCTTAATGTTGTAGCTATCATGTATATTATATGTACATATATTGCAACCCCACCAAACAATGCTATTTTGTTTTGTTTTGTTTTGTTTTCAACTGTCAAACATCTTTTAAAGAACTCAAGAGAGGAATAGTACTATGTTTACAGAGATATTACCATTTCTGTTGCTTTTTCTTCATTCTTGATGTTACAAGTTTATTTTTTTCATTCTCTCTGAAGAGCCTCCTTTAGAAAATTTCTTTAGAGCAGGTCTGCTGGCAACTAATTCTCTATCTTCATCTGAGAATGACTTTATTTCACCATCATTTTTGAAGAATATTTTCACTGGATATAAAATTATGGGTTAACACATCTTTTCTCTTAACACTTTAAAATGGTATTCTACTTTCCCTTTCTCTGAGTACTCTGAGTTCTCCTGGCACTTGTGGGTTGACCAGCAGATGTATGTATTTTTTTTTAACCTTCATTTTTATCACCTTTTTCTGTCTTCCTCAAGAAGTTTCTATTACTAAGCTCTTCCTCCTTTCTCTCTTCTGCCACTCAAGATGTATTTTTATGTAAATTTTTTGTTATATAGAACGAGTATAAAATACCTGAGGAAAATAATTCACTAAAATCTCAGTGGTTAGTAAATGGTTATTGTGTTACCCTTCCCGGGGGATTTTCTTTTAGGCATGGAAGTCTTGAAGACTGGGAATTGCTTTAACTTAAGAAATGAAATCTTGTAATATAGAATTCTAAGCTCCATGCTTGGTCTGTGGGGAGTGGGGATGTTAGCCACAAAGATACTCCTGGGGTTCCTCAAAACTTAAGAGAGAAACACAGCTACCCTCCCTGCTTATGTGGTATTTCAGCTGCTTCATTGGTAAAGAAATGGGGAATCCACACAGGGCCAACAATGACTTACAGGTGTTTATTTTTTCTCTGCCATTCTGGCCTCAAATAGGCAAGAAGTAGGGGAGAGAAAAACCCAAACAACCTTGACTAAGAGTCCTCAATTATTTATTTAAATTTCAAACTTAAAATTTTTCACTTTTAGCTCTTTTGGCAAAATACATGACTTGTATTCAGAAAAGGTTCCAAATTGGTGGCCCAATACCTTTGCCCAAGACTTCTTTAAGTTACATAGAAAATTAATCTCAAAGCTTAGTAGGTGCTTTTTGGAGAGTAAAAGAACTCTACTCATTTTTTTGGCACAGTAATATTCCAAAAAGGAGTTATTAAAATAACTATGTTTTCTAAGGATCCCAAAGTCCCCTTTCCTCTGGGAAATAAATCTCCCCTTTCTGGGAGATTTATTAGCTGTGTTTAATAGGAAAATACAAACTGAAGCCTAAAGAACTTGACAGACCTGCTCTAGGGTATAAGGTGAGTTCCCTTGTGGGGAAAGGAGCTTTCATCTTGGGGCACTCTGCCATCTCTCAGCTGTAGAAAATGCTCTGGTCCAGTGGAGGGATGGGAGTTGGGAAGAGGTTGCAGTCAGCCTCTGGTTGGTGTGGGTTGATTTGGTTGAGATCAGCCAGAGAGGAATGATAAATCATGGCTATGCGTTCATTTATGTTGGTGTGTGATTTATGCACTCGTTAGATAAGCTGCTTTCTTTCCCTCTTCTTCTACCAGACAGTCTTGTTGCTGGAGATGACTGTCAGCTGCTTTCCCTGCCTAGCCACCATCACATGCCCCACCACCGGAGCCTGGGAAGCCTGACCACAGACCAGCATCTCCAAGGCATGAATAATTAGGTAGGCATAATGGAAGGCACTCACTGCACCCTCCAATTGCGTAAGCCCATTACTGAAGTCTGCTACATCAGCTTCTATCTTCCAAGGGGGGAAGTCAGAGGATTTTCATACAAGGGCACTGTAACTCTAGACAGAGCCAATAAAGGGTTTCATAACTGCTACCAAGTCAGGGAGGGGTCAGACGTCATCAGCCTCAGCCTGCAGCCAAATGGACATCCCGGCGACATATTTTTCAAGCAAACTCCCACAAAAGACATTTTAACTGAGCTGTACAAACTTACAGCTGAGAGGGAGAGACTTCTGGCCAATCTGCTGAGCTCAGACCACATCCTCGGGATTACGATGGGGAACCAGGAGGGGAAGCTGCTGGAGCTGTCCGTGAGCCTGGCCCCGGAGGACGACTCTTTGCAGAGTGCTGGTGACTGGCTGGGGGAGCCCCCTGTGGGCTGTCTCAGTAAGAGGAGTGCCCATGGGAACCGCAAGCCGCGGAGGTTTGGTGGAAGGAGAGGAAGCTTTGAGGGGCTTCCACAGAAGAGGACGAGAAGGAAAGGGCATGGGGGCCGACAGTCGGCTCTTCAGATGGGGAAAGACCAGATCTGTTCCAGCAAATCTCTTCCTCTTTCTCGAACAAGGCCTAATCTTTGGCTTCTAGAGGAAAGAGGCAGCTCACTCCCAAGAGTGGCATTTACTTCCTCCCCACAGTGGAGAGAGAGCTGCCCCCCAGAGACCCCCAGGACACTGGATCCCAGCCGTGGCTTTGGGAACTTCAGGAAGGCTTCTGAGGACACGGGGCTTGGACGCGGAAGGCTGCCCCCTGACTGCAGCTCCACAGAGCCAGGAGACAATGGTGCTGGAAAGCCGGAGAGGGGCCCTCTCAGGCTGCTGCACCAGCAGACAGCTTTGTCTGAAAGTCATGAGGACTCTGAGAAGCATCCAGAGGCCAAGAGGGGCCAGAGGGAGAAGTCTACAGAGCATACATGCAGGAAGAAGCCTATTTCCAAAGTGGTGGCCAAGGTCCAGGATCTGTCTACTCAGGTGCAAAGAGTAGTTAGAACGGGTCCTGAGAGTGAGGAAAGCGTTGCCATTTGCCCAGCGGCCCAAGCTGAGTTTATACCCAGAGCAGACTGGCTCACCCTCCCAGAAGCCGAGGCTAGGACTCCTGGTTCCAGGTGGCAGGGCCAGGAGCAGCCGGGCGACAGGCCATGGCAGCTGTCGGACGGGGAACGCATTCCAGCCAGTGTCGAGGCGGCTGTGAACAAGGTCCTGCTGAAGGTGATACAGAGTGAAAAGTTAGATGAAGCCACTGAGGGGAAAAGGCTGGGCTTCCCCCCAAGCACACCAGGCACCCACACCATCCCAGAAGCCAGAGGCAAGCGGAAGGCTGGGCTGCCTCTGAGGGATCACAAAACCTCATTTCTGGATCTGCCCCACCTTGGTGGCCCTGACTGGCCACAGCCCGGAGGCCATGAGAAGAAGCCGTCCCCCTCAGCCCCGGCAGCGCTCACCATGCTACTGAATAATTCATCCTCCCAGTCCAGCATGCACAGACGGATGGCACCTGTTCCCTCGCCTCTCTCTCCAAGGCTCCCCGGCCCGGAGCAGCATCACGGGGTCCTGCAACTCCCTCCACTGCCGGGTGAGTGGGAAGTGGCTCCTGATGACTCTGTTGGCCGAAAGAGCAGTGCTTTCTCTGGGTCCTCCTCTGCTGACACCTTGGAGCCACCATCCTCTGCAAAGGTCACGGAGACCTTCCTCAGAGCAGGCCAACCTCGGTTGGTGCCTGGGGAATCTTTGGAGAAGAGCCTGGGGCCTGGGAAGACCGCGGCTCGTCCCCAGTACCAGTCACCTCCAGGTAAGTCCCTGTGTAAGATATTTCACATCTGTTCCAGGGCAGCTCACAGACAGTCATCTGCTTGCGCTGTTCAGAGACTCACCACTGAACAATGAACCCAAACTCCTAGGCCTGTTCGTTAGTTCACTCTGTAGCAAGAAAACTGGGAGTGGTATGGGGGAGTGTGGCCATGGTGAGGCTGGTGCTGACTCCCAGGCTCCGGGATGTAGTTGCTTCCAGAAGCAATATTTTGTAAATGTCTTTTACAAATATTTTACTTCGGCGTACTCTACAGCTGCCTCCGTGGTTGCTTAACTCAGGACTCTCAAAGGAAACAGGGTTGAGCAGAAAGAAGTAGCAACTTGTCTCTGCCTTAGATGCTGTCGTTGGATAACTGGCCCCTTGACCTAAATTCTGCTGTTCATGCTGCTGGAGTAGCTCTTTGTTGGGGTTCTCTAAGCAAAAGAGCAAAAGCCTCCTGTGTCTTTGCTCATCTGTCTGTTGTAAGAGGGTTTTTCATTTTGGTTTTTTTAATAATCACTTTTCCAAGTGTCATTACTTTACAACAAGAACTTTCATTTTTTTTTTTTTTTTTTTACTAGAAGAGGGATGAATTCAACTTGAAGAAACTCGGTTCAGGTTTTCTTTCTTTCTCTTTTTGGACTCTCTGTTTCCCAGACGAGCATGAAGTAACGTTTATTCTGTTTTTATTTGTGGTCTATTTTACTGTTACTGTTTTACTTACGGGTGCTCCAGAGTTGATTTGGCTTATGTGTTTAGTATGATACAAAATTTTACATGAAAACAATTTTGGGGGTCCTATAAGTGGGTTCAGTAAGAGCCAGAAAGGCAGTGTCTAAAAGGTGCCCCTCTGGTATTCCTTACGTTTTCCAGGCCGATGTGGCCAGGGGCTCAAGGTTTTGTATGCTGCTGCTGTGCAGGCAATGGGTTCTTTTCCGGGGTAACTCCCACAGCATGTGGTCAACACTTTATCTAGGGAATGGGTCGTAATATGATATACAGTCTCTTAAAGGTTAGAGAAGATATCACACACAATTTCTGTGATAAAAATCTCTATCTAGGAAAGAGGAATTTCAACAGCTTTCTATTCATTTTGACTCTTGACATTTTCAGAATTTCTCTAAATCATTGATCCAGGCATGGTTCTTTAAAAATGTGGTAAATGTTTTTGATCTTATTTTTGCAATATATTGATCTTAGTTTGAGGAGAATTGCTGCTTTCATCACATAACCCATTTGCTTCACCAGGAAAGTCAGAGAATTACAGATTTTGTGTCATGTGTTATAGAACCCTAGTGATGAAAATTCTCCCTATGGGTGCTGCTGGAGCCATTGAAATTTTTCAAAAGGGAGGTCTGTGTGGCTATGAGACGAGAGACTTCTAGAAGCTCAGGCATGGACTAGCTCCTTCAACTCTAAAGTTTATTTTTTAGAAACCACACCAGTTTCTGGGATTGTGTGTGTCTCTTATTCAGAAACTGGGCATTAAATACATTGAGCTTCCATAAGTCTTATTTTTTCCTAATTTAGAACTATCTTTTTATTTTGTTGTCCTTTTTCTATATAAAAAATATTATAAAAGCTCCATTGTATCTGGGTCAAGGCAGGCACACAGAGGACATTCAGTTTCTATGGTGACTGACTATGAGCCCACTGAGTGGTAAGTTCAGTGGGTGGTCACACTCTCCCTTGAACTCAGGACATGATTGCTCAGAACCATTTCCCTTCCTTTGGCCCCAGCCCTCCATATCGCTTTCAGGAGCCAGTCATTAGAATCATGACCGTGTGCTTCTAACCTGATAAAAGAAGGACTTGGAAAGAAGGAGAAAAGGAGTGGGAAAGAATTTTTCTTCTGATGTGGGTGACTTCTCTTCTGCTGAGACCTTCCTCCAGGTCATCCAAACATTGTCTCTTGTCATTGTCCCTCTGAAAAGCATGAAGGGAGGGTGTTCTTCAAATAGTGGGTCTTGATTTATATCCTGTGTTCCTGTGTTCTTCTCCCCGCTTATTCCCCTTTTCCGTAGTCTGAGTTCTCTTCATATTCTGGATCCTTCAGTGACTTCCTGCCACTGGTGGGTCCATATGTATGGGAGAATTTTCCTGCTTCTAGTTGCCTGTCTTTCCCTTCATTTCCCTTCTCACCCCTTCCCGGCAGAGGCCCCAGAGAGTGTCCAGCAGCCCTGATGGCGGGTGGAGGGGATATAGGGGCATAATTCATTGACTATCACTGCACAGTGGCCCTTTATCTGGATCCAACTCCCACCTGTCTCCGATGTTAGCTATTAACCAGGTTGAGTTTATGGTCTGTGCACATTTATTTCCTGTGGAAATAACACCGAGGTATTTTATTGAAGTGATGTGATTAAGATTATTGAAAGCTCTCATTAACTGCTCAAGTAAGAGATTAAGTCTGGCAAAAGTAATCAGATCTGTTTCCAGTTGGAAGACTCTTGAGTGTTATGGGCATGTAGTAATTCCCAGGAAAGAGTGAAATCCCCTTCTCCTTCTCCCAGGACTGAGAGTTAAGGTCCATATGACTATCCACACAGGAAATAGCATAAAGGCAGCACAGAGGCTACTGGTCCACCTCCTGCTGGCTTTGACATTTTCTTAATTCCTTATTTGAGTCTTCATTCTAAGGACTACACACAGGGATTTCTTATCTGGTGGTGATATGATCAAACAGGGAATGGTGGCCAGATTGGTCATCTCATGCCCATGCCTTCCCCCCAGCACATACTACCTTCTCCCGCCCTCTCCCTTTGGAATTGGTTTTATAATATTTTATTTCGGGATGGAAACTACTGTAGAATGTTCCCAAGCCTTTGTAGAATGTGGTATTTTCTCAGCCCGAAGGACTGTAGTGGTGCTAACCTGCACAGCGGTGTCCTGAGGGCTGAGATTCTTTCCTGTTCTGATGGCTTTCTTTTTACCTTTGATCTGAAATAGACCCTCTTAATGCCAGAAGAATCACATGGAATTTGGCTCACCACACTTAGGAAAATGCCCAGCATTTTTATGTGCTCCTCAGCAATCTCATGATCTTTGTCCTCTGATTGAAGCCACAGAGGCTGTGGTAGAAGCAGATGCCCTGGGCGTAGTTCTTCTTGATATTTTGAGTCACTTGATCAGTTGGAAGGGCCATCGAAAGATGTAGTTCATGTCAACTGATTAAGAGGTGAGACGCACACTTTGAATAGATTTTTTAGTATCTAATGCAACGGTCAAAACTTTTATTTCTCTAAGCATGTATTACAGAGAGTGGATAGAAATTCTTCCCACAATAATACTGAGGTTTGCTACAAGCCCAATAAAAATTTAAAGAAGCTTCATAATATTAATGGACATATGCAGCCATTTAAGATTACTACAGAAAGTACATAGTACATAGAAAGTTCTCTATAATTCATGTTAAGAGAGAAAATGAGGTTCAGCAATTGCCTAAACCATATCATACCCATATAAAACAAATGTAAGAATTAAATTAAGGAATACATTGCTATACACTTGGAAGAAAGTAAGAAGGTGGCAGTTGAAACTATATGGAACTTTGACCTAGCAACCCTACTTTTTGGAATTTAGTTTACAAAAATAGATGCAGTAATAAACATATATGCAGAAGGGTGTTTACTCTAGCATTGTTTGTAGTGGCAAAAGTAGCTGAGAAAATTTGAAGGTCCATCAGTAGAGAAATGATTAAATGAGTTTTGGTACATTTCTACTATATAATACCATGAGGCTGTTCAAAGTATTGAACTAGATCTGTACCTAGCAAGTGGCAAGGTGATGTACAGCATCCTTGAAGTTTTTGCAAGACAGGTATCACTCCTCTTCATATATGAGTGTATGTCTGTTTGGTATGGGCTTGAATATCATGGAGACATGTGTAGAAAAAGACTAACCAGCCTGTTCACATTCCTTACCTGCATGCAAAGCAGGGTGAAGATGGGGCACGAGGTGAAGGGGAAGAATCCAGAAGCATTAGGGAAGAGCATTAACTTCTTCCCTATATATTTTTATAGTATGTCACTGGTCGCAGTATATGTGTCACTTTTATGATTTTTAAGAGTGATTTAACTACCTTTTTTTAATGGTTATCCCTTGTTTATTGAAGTGTAGTTACATAAATGTTATATTAGTTTCAGGTGTATAACACAGTGATTCGAGAATTCAAGACATTATGTACTACTTGCCAGGATAAGTATAGTTACCGTCTGCTGCCCTACAACATTATTACAGTATTATTGACTGTATCCCCTATATGGTACTTTTTTTCCCCTTGCTTATTTATGTTATCACTGGAAGTTTGTGTGTCTTTTTTTTTTTAAATATTTTGTTTTTCACTTTTTTTTTTAAGATTTTATTTATTTATTTGACAGAGAGAGATCACAAGTAGGCAGAGAGGCAGGCAGAGAGAGAGGGGGAAGCAGGCTCCCTGCTGAGCAGAGAGCCCTATGTGGGCTCGATCCCAGGACCCTGGGATCATGACCTCAGCCAAAGGCAGTGGCTTAACCCACTGAGCCACTCAGGCATCCCTCATCCATATCCCTACCTCCTTTTAATGAGTGATTTAATGACTTTTTAAGTAAAAAAAAAACAAATGAACCTAGAGCAGTTAGTGTGTGTGGTGGGATTACAGCTAAACTGCTCTTTCCTGTGTTTTTCCCCATGTCCTTTAATGGGGTGAGGAGCTCAGCTCTGAGACTGCACTGTTATTCGGGCAAATGCATTTGCTAGAGAGCTGGGAAAGCAGAGCCTGTGGAGAACTAGTCAGACAGTGAGGATTGGATGGGGATAGAGCATTATCCAAAAACCAAGAGAAGAAGGAGCTTTATAAAGGCTCCTGATAGACAAGGTCCTGACAGGAAATGGACACCCCTTGGCCTGAAGGAATAAGAGAAGCTGCGGTTACTGGAACCCAGACAGGGGAGCGTCACTGAGAGGGGCCACATGGCAGCAGCGGTGGCCTGTGGCCAAGGTTGTTAGGCTGAAGATCCTGG